ATTATAAAATATGTTATATGCAGTATTTCTAATAAAAACCTGAGTTGCGTTATTGATGAAATTAATGTTATAGTATACAATTTGTTTGTAGAAAAATACCTATTAGCACGGATAATTGGACCACTTTTAAAATAAGAAATGTATTGTAATTTTAAATTAAATGTCATACCGTCGCTGGAAGATAATTTTATTGTAAACACGAAAATACGATATAACGCGAATACGATATACGAATAAACACGAAATATTAGAGACAACAGACATAAATGTAAGCTTTATTGCTTAAAAACTTGAAGTAGCATAAATGCTACATTTGTCCACAAATTAAAATATCACGATTGCTTTATACACCAACATCAAGAACAGATGGATTGTAATAGCTTCCAATCCATAACTTATTTGGATTTGAAGCAAATAATATTAGTTCTAACCATCTAATGAACAAAGAGATCTGAAAAAAAAAGATATAATAAAGTTCTATAGTTTGACGTTTACAGCAAAATTACTTCCCAACGTCGATCTGTACATTTTAATCAAAATGTGCTCCGCGGGCTATTTAATGCTCTGTATTCCATACATAGACGAAAGTATTAAGTGTTAAGATGGAAATTAAAAAGGTTCTGAACAATATTAAAAGATTTTTATTTCAGCTTTCAACATGCAAACTCTATTCTGTATGTACCATCTGAAATGAAACGGAGATAACAATAGTTGTAACGAAATACATACATACAATGCATGAAAATGATGGTAATATTTTTTTTTCGGTATTAATTATAGAGTTGCAGCAATGAAAGCTCCGTAACCAGAGTTATTTAACATTTGGTACAATTAAAAAAATGCAATTAGATTTCTTATTAAAATTAATTTATCCTATATCTACATCTGCATATTGCATATTTAAATGAGTATCTATAATCTGAAATAATTCAAGTGGTTGTGGTATTCTACCAGTTTCTAGTTTGGACCATACAGGAACATCTGGAACAGCAAATAATATATTTGTACATTTTATCTAGTTATATTGATTATACATAGTTAGAGAAGATGCTTACCATTGAAATGTATTTCAAAAGCTCCTGACGATATAAAGTGTCCTTCTATTGCATTAAAAATAAAAAATATCATTATACAAGAATAGAATCGATTATCTATACACCATTGCCAAAGAGATCCTCGTTGTTGTCCCAAATCAAGTCCACTTACTATTAAGATTATCAATAAAATTTTCACAAAGCTCTAAACAAAAGAAAAGGATATGCATANGATGCCTCCTATTTATAAAATCATATCTCGTGGCTAATTCAACATGATCGTAATTTGAATATAAATGCAACAATATTGTATTTGAGCATAGTGTTCAACACAATTAGAGGCATCAATATGTATATGGAAGAAGGAAATATATTATATTTACTAATAATTTAGCAATAAGCATTTTGTTATGAGAGGGATTATAGTTTTCTCCATTAATTTGCAGGTCTGGGTACTTTTCCCTAAGTATGCTAACATACTCTTCAAAAACTTTTCTATATCCACATGAATAACTGAAAAAAGAAAAAATAAAACATTGTTCTTAGTTCAATGTACTGTGCTAAATAAATAAATATAATTGTATAAATGAAATACTTACCAGTAAAAGAATTTTAATGTCGGTCCTGTTTTTGAACCAAGTTTGGTTAATGAAACTTGATTGTCTTCAGCTTTACTGTCAAGTGTGCATAAAATCATGCAAACACACAAAATTAATTTCATACGACGCAGCATTCTTTGGTCATTGAAAATTTATCGGTTCCAGAAATTTAAATGGAAGCAATTTGATCTTTGTTTTCTGAAAAACGCTAATTAAAGGTTCTTGCTCTTATCTACACTGCTCAGTCACTACGGTCACTAGTCACTACAAGTCCGTACCACACCGCCTGTACCTGTACCACAACCACAGTCAATCATGAATCTGAATGATAACGATGGTGAGATGGTCGAGTCGTCGAGTCG